AAAAAAAAGGAATTAAAAAAACCTTCAAATACAAAAATGAAAATAAATTTTAAAAAGGGTGGGGGGCGACATATCTGCACACTACATTTCTGGTAAGAGCCACCAATTCAGAACAGCCTGAAATGGAGTAAACTCGGTTTAAGAAGGCATAGAGATGTYTCTGGTAGGTTTTAAAAAGATCTCCTTCAAAAAAGATAAAAAATGGGTTAAAACAAAGTTTTGGCAAGAGGGGTAAGCTGGCTGTGTGTTCACCCTGGCAGGSGGGTGGGCATTCAGTGCCCCACCATGCGGGTTAACTGAGCCGCCACGGCATTGTGAACTGCTTTGGGTCACTGGGCAAAGGCGTGTCCCCGCTTGCCACAGAGGTTGCACACGATGCCCTTCCCGCAGTAAGGGCTCGGGTGTTCCTCTTCCCCACACCTGAAACACCTGTCCTGTGTGCAGCTGCCSCTCATATGGGTGCAGGAACCACWYTTGAAGCACGTCTTGGGCTGCCCCTTGTACCAGCTGTTCCCCCTCTCGGCTTATGGTAGTCTTTATTGTGGTAAAATGTATGTAACATAAGGTTTACCATCTTAGCAATTGTAAGTGTACAATTCAGTGGAATTAATTGTATTCATGCAGTTGTACAACTATCGMCACCATCCACCTCCAGAACCTTTCCATCTTTCCCAACTGACACTCTACCCCTAAACGTGAATTCCACATTCCCCACCCCCCATCCCCTGGCAAACACCCTTCCACTTTCTGCTTCTCAGATGTGCTTATTCTGAGTCCCTCACGTAAACAGACTCATACGGTGTTTGCCTTTTTGTGTTTGGCTTATTTCACTTAACATAATGTCCTCAAGGTCTATCCATGTTGTGCCATGTGCCAAAATTTCCTTCCTTTTAAGGCTGAAAATAATATACTACTATAAAACTTGAAAGAAAAGCAAATCTGCCCCATTCCATTACCTCACCACTCACTCTTACTCCCTAGAGAGAATGATCTTAATTATTTTAGCCATTTCTGCTGATATTTAATCCCATACATCTAAATAATGTCACAATTTTATGACATATGATTTAGGTATAAACTATTCACTTCCTGTGTGGGTAGAAGAGAAGTAAGCTGTTTTATACCCTTCTTCTCCTATCCTTCCCTTATAGTTAAATCAATATTCAGTTATTGTATTATTAGGATCAGGTAAATATCACTCACTGTTGAGCCAAATATTTCTATGATTATTTTCCTTTTCCATACAACAATATTTTGGGGAGCAGGGAACACTGGGGATTGAACCCAGGGGCACTTAGCCACTGAGCCATATCCCCAGCCCTTATTTGTATTTTATTTAGAGACAGGGTCTTGCTGAGTTGCTTAGGGCCTTGCTAAATTGCTGAGGCTGGTTTTGAACTCTCTATCCTCCTGCCTCAGCTTTCTGAGCCACTGGGACTATAGGTGTGTGCCACCACAGCCAGCTGCAACAATTCTTTTTGAATGAATAATTACTTCATTTTTWKKGGGTTACTTTCCACATACCTATTACTAGTTACCAAACACCAACAAGTTATGTCCCTTTTCCCGCCAYTGATTACATCAGATAATGTGTTCATTGCACCCCCAGCCCCTCCACGGCCTCCCTCCTGGAGCTTCTGCCTTCCATCTGTGCTCCTGGATGAGCTTGTTGTAGGGACTGATGCTACAATTTCCTTTGTAACTTTCCTTAGTCAGATTCCCTAAAAACTCAGGTTTCCCTTTTTGGTCACTCCATTGTTTTAATAGCACACATTCTTTTGAGTAAAGATGGATGGAAAGTAAATATTGTTAAATATTTGCATGCCTGAAAGTGTTTTATCCTTTAAATTTGATCATTTGAAAGGGCATGACAAGGACCCAGGCACAGTGGCACAGGCCTGTACTCCCAGTGACTTGGGAGGCTGAGGCAGGAAGATAACAAGTTCAAGACCAGCTTCAACAACTTAGTGAGGCCTGAGCAACTATGCAAGACCCTGTCTCAAAATAAAAAGGGCTTGGGGTGTGGCTCAGTGGTTAAGCACCCCTGGGTTCAAATCCCCAGTGCCAAAAAAAAAAAAAAATCCCCAAGGTCATGATATTATCGTATTTTATCCTGATGCTTGCATGTAATGGGTCCCCCTCCCCCCCACACTTCTATTAAAAGGACAAAGCTACAACAAATCCAGTTTTGCAGATTTTTCTTAATGATTCTAGAATCTATCAGCAGTCTGGATCAAAAAATGGTTCAGAATGTCCCCCACCTCACCATACGGGAGGTTATACTAGAGAAAAAGAAGTGATGTACAGAAAATGGAAGTGGTTTACAGAGAAAGCCCATTGGTTGCAGCTTGCATGTGCCTTAYGTGAACACAGTTGGAACTGGCTGCTTGTGATTCATTGAACTTCAGTGCTTGGTTCAAGACTCAACTACTCATGCAGTACTTACTTGCTTGTTCACATATCAGCTTAGGGTATGGTTCCCTGTGCACCAAGAAACCTTTAAAACAAACTTAAAATGCATAAAGTCAGATTTCAACCAAACTTCACATTTCCCTGGAAGCTTTTAGGATCTCATTTTTAACTCTGATATCACGAAATTACTTTCTTTAGTTTGAGTCTTTTTTCAATAACTATATCAGCCATAGTTAGAAATTCCCACATTCTCATTCTTGGGAAGGTTTTGTTTTATTATTATTAAAAACCCCAGACTCTACAGGAGCTATGCCTTTTTTCCTGAGAGCTGGTCCATTTGGTGCCTGTACTGGGTAT